TAATTTATTATAAATTTTAGTTATATATAATAAATATTTATCTTGTACATTCTGCATATTAAAATATTAGTTATAAATAGTGATTTATAAAAGGATTTGATATGAAATATTCGAGAATAATACTTAATTTTACAAAACAATGATGCACATTTTAATATGTTTATAACACAAATTAATCACAAGAGGTTTAGAAAACATGTATACGAAGAGGAGTCATAATCCATCTTTATTATTTAGGTAAAAAAAACTATGACAATTAAATAACTTCTCTCTATCTAATGACTACGAATTTTCACAATGTTGTGACTTATGTGTATAAAAATGTCTAATAGGCTGACGATTTTATAACTTCCGAAAATGATAATAAAGATTTCCCATATGTTCAATTACATCAAAAACCTAAGTAATATTCATCATTTAATTAATAACAGAATTTATGTTATCATAATTGATATTATTTAATAATATAAAATCCAATCCAATAAATAAACAATATTTATCTACAAAATTTCAATATTTACAACTTTATCTTCAAAAGTTACTGGATAAGAACCGGTAATTTTATCTGATAATTTTTTTGTAATATAAGATAAATTCTAACTTATTGCATGTTGGTATGGCATCAAATGATACAAAAACATACATCTTTTTAAAGTATGCGAAAGCCTCATTTAATTTTCTCATTGCAAAATGTTGTGTACATTTTGCAATATATATAATTTACAAGAAATAATCATGCTTAAATAAGATAAAATCATTATAAATAACAGATCTCTTCATATGTATTTAATATAATTGTATATTAGAAACTTAAAATCACGATTAAGATGTAAAATTCAAGCGTTAATAGATACACGTCCTAAGTGCTATATTTTGTAGCTTTCTTACTCAAAGTTGTATTTTGGTATGCTCATAGTGAATTTAATTTCTTCTCGTTGGTGAAGCATGTTAGAATTTTGTTATGTATCATTTTTTCTATAGTTTTCAATATTTATGAAAGTGCATGTAGAAGAAGAAGAAGAAGAGGATGTCAAGCACATTAATTGAAGTGTTATAGGTCTCCACAGTGGGAGAAACATCTCCTTCACCAGCCTTTCTACTTGGTCCACCTTCCATGTTAATTTGGCTGAGCATGCAAAATCAGGTTATTGAAACTCAAACAACTAGCATTTGTTCACTTGTCAATGTCACTCATGAATATTTGCATTTGCATTCACTAATATTTGCTATATCATATCTGTGGCTTCGAATCATTGAATCGCAAGGTTTAATGGTGATACATTCTCTCAACGTAAATTTTTTTACATAATAAATCAATTAGAAAGGATGATTTTGAATAAAATTGATTTGCAAAGTAAGTTAATTAAAATATAATATTTTTTTTATTTAGTACAAAAGTTATCTAAAATTTTATAAATTCAAAAACTCTATAATTAAATAAAATACCGACACGTAATTTCTGTATCAAATATCGATTTAAACAGATGGAATCTAATGAAATAAAATTAAATAGAATAACTTATCATACTATTGTTCGGGTGTTTTACGATGGAGTTGAGTAAAAATGTCATGTCCTTTCTGAGGAGTAAAACAAATAGGCAAAATTATAATTATATATTATTATATAAAAAGTAGTTCTATCCCATAACTTTGAAATTGGAGAGAAAAAAATGAATTGAATAGAATAAAAACAAAATGGTTTGTCTTGTTAATTTCATTTAATTTTAAACAATAACAGTGATTATTTTATTCTATTTTTCTTCATTAATTTCTTATTATTAACCCAGATATAATTTCATATTTAAGCCTCAAGTCTCTAGCTCAACCACTAAATTTAAACATATGTACTATTTAAGTCACCCCTCATAAATTTGGAGAGTTCTTCCAGAACCAACACTTTTCATTAATTAGCACCAAAAATATGTTCTTTTTAAGTATTAAATACTCTCTCCATTTTTATTTATAATTATTTTATTTTTATTTTTTTATTATTCTTTTTCATTGTTATTTTTTTTAAAATCAATATTTTATTATTATTTTTTTCATTTTTATTCTTCATAATTAATGTGTATTTACTGAATAATATATTTATTTATTTTTAATATACTTATTTTTTTCTATCCACCTAAAAGATATATAATAAAAAAATAAATAATAAATATTTTAAAAAAATTAAAATATCAATCATTTTCTAAAAATAAAAAAAAAAACGGAGAAAGTACATAATAATATCTATTTTTTTTAAGAGCTAGTAATAATTAATCACAATGTGATTAATTATGAATTCCCATGGCACAGGCTCCTCCATTATTGCTAGAAGAAACAAGTGGTCTGTCTAACGGCCACGAGTTGAGTTGAGATATATTTATCTTACTTTCATTTAATTCGAAATTTTAATAAAATTATTTATTTTAATTTTATTTAATTAAGATTTGATAATATGTGCGATAAAACTAAGTTCACATGATTTATCGAGAGTGTATTAATCTTAATATTATATATAATGAAATAATACATAAAAGAAATATATATATATATATATATATATATATATAACAAAAATTAAATATATTTTAATATATATAATTCAAAATAGATAATATTAATATAAATATAATATTGTATTATACAAAATGGTATTATTTATTAAGTTAAAATTTTTATTATTACTACATATTATTTTTGTTTTTTTTATCTATTCACTTAGAAAATAACACCCAGATTAAAAAAAATATATTCAGATCTTCATTTTTATTAAATTATTTTTAACTTCTTAATACTCCAATATTATTTCTCTCTTATTTGTCACAAGTGAACAAAGTAGTTATTCAATTTTTGTTATTTGTGTTATGGTATGTGGGGTAGAGGGTGTCACACAAATGATATATATTTATTATTAATAAATACATAAAAAAAATATATATATATATATATATATATATATATAACAAAAATTAAATATATTTTAATATATATAATTCAAAATAGATAATATTAATATAAATATAATATTGTATTATACAAAATGGTATTATTTATTAAGTTAAAATTTTTATTATTACTACATATTATTTTTGTTTTTTTTATCTATTCACTTAGAAAATAACACCCAGATTAAAAAAAATATATTCAGATCTTCATTTTTATTAAATTATTTTTAACTTCTTAATACTCCAATATTATTTCTCTCTTATTTGTCACAAGTGAACAAAGTAGTTCAGTAGACATAAAGATATAATTGAAAGAACAATTAAAAAAAAGTAACTTTTTATAACTATTTAAATAAAACAATTATCTCAAAATCACATTTAACTTAACATATTCAATTATATTTTTTTATAATTAAAATAATAATAATTATTGCATACATAATATAAATAATTATTGTATAATTAATTATTTATTCTGCTAATTCAGCATACATAATATAAATACACATTTACTTTTTTTTCTTTCATTTTTTATTTTTATAAAAAAAACTGTCTTATGAGAATCCAAGGCTTATCTAGTGATGTAAATTCTGTTGGGACAGCAGCAAATTCGGTGACTTCATATTTCCTTTCTTTGAAGAGACCGATGAATTATAATTATTATAATGGAAAAGTAACTCAAAGCAGACAGATATAAATTTTTTTTTATACGTAATATGCACCTTTTAATATACATAAAATACCCTTCCTTAAAATTATATAGGAAACTGGCCTTCATTTACTGTTCAAGTGTGAATTGGGGTTCACCTAAATTTTCATATTTTCATTTTCATACATTACACACAGAATTATGAAATCTTAAATCCTAAATCCTAAACCCTAAACTTTAAAACTCAATTCTAAACGAGTCTTTTTCAAAATTTTAATTTTTAGTTATATTGTAATTTTTAAAATTTAAAATAAAAATATATTTTAATATTTTTACCTTTTACTTTTTCTACCCTTACAATAACTTTATTTTATTGTTTGAAAAATATTACATTAGCACCTTTTATATATTACTTAATCTTAATTATTTGGAAAATATTACATTGTGATTCCCTGTAATAAGGACTGATGTAAACCTTTAAAATATAGTGTTCATGCAATTTTGTAGAACTTTATAAAGTTTCAACATAATTAACTCAATTATATATTTTAACATACAAGTATAATAGCCATATCTCTTATGAAAGAATAATATAATTTATTTTAATTTTTATCATTAAAATACTTTAAAAAATTATTTAAGAATTAAATAAATTTTTATTTAAAGTTTACAATATAATTAAATTTTAAAGTTTTAAAAATACCAGTTAAAAATTCGATTTTAAATAACTCAAATTCTAAAAATTTGACTCCTCTAAAGTGAGAAAATTTCATTAAAATAATAAGTTGATAAAAATATCAACAATGGAATATTATAGTTAATTTAAATTTTATTATATA